CCAGGGTGCACCACGTGGAGGTAAGTCTATCGCACACCCCAGGTGGAGAATTATTATTTTATGCCTATAATATTCATTTTGTAATAACTGGAAAACTTTTTAGTTTGACAGAAATCATTGAACCACTGTGATGAGTCTCTTTCAACTGATAGAAATATTTTTCTTTACGTCTTGATGAAACTCTATCAATATGCATGGTTATTTTCGCAGCCAATGAAATTCGGGCCGTGTCTAGCCAATCTTCAATGGGGGACTTGTTAACGAGTTAATAATGTTGATGTCAGTATAATTTAGGGTTGAAACAAAACATGCCATAAAAGTCATGCTCATTGATATAATGAAACATTAGCAGGTTAACAATGAGGAAAATTAGTTGATGAAAAATGATAAAGTATGAGTTGTAATAGGCTTTTTTATGTCTGAAATTAATGGATTTTCAATTCCTTTGTCGCACGTGTGAAATGTTTCGTGGAAAATGGCTAGATCATCTGATTTCGACAATAAGTACAATAAACTGCATAGATTTCATTTACCCCGGTATCCGAGATTTGTCCGAATTGTGTCATTTAGTTGTGTAGCTGACATTTTAGGCTGCAGTGCTTACATGGAGCAAATATTTGTGTAAGAATATCTATAACTTACATCGAATTGCATTTACCATATACATAATAGCTCAATATAGCTCCTTCTGTTCTAATTCTTTCTCATATTCTAATATTTAATTCCAAATGATTATCTAATTTTGATCTACCGAACTGCGAAACATCCACGAATACAAGCGAATTGTAGCTATGTAAAAGACAATAAAATTAATTAATTTCTTAGAAATGCCATATTTTTTTATTGCTCCTATTCTAAACATTAGCTCATTTCTACGAAGGATAACTACCATTCCAATATTATGGTCTTTTCTTATTATTAATTTTTTAATCGTCTGTGGCACTTCTGAATTAAAACTCCCTTTCTACTTCGCCTGGACTTTGAGGAGAGAGAAGCGTAAAATTTGCTGCCAGTACAATTTTATTTCAATATGATTTGGAGCGGATCCGATAAAATGCTAGCAGATTGCAAATCTTTGAGCTTATAATTCATATTGATCTTAAATCTTCGTATTTTCGCAATTATTGCTTTTCTATGATGTTATTTATTTATTTATTTTTAGTTAGTGCTTTTCTTTTGCAGGTCTTCCATTCCACATAATCAAATGAACAATCTCTCTGTTCCGGATTGTTTTCTTCCTGACAATCCGGTTAATTCGTCTTCTTACCCTATAGAAAGCAGTAGATTTATTGTAGCCACGTCAATCAACATCAGGAATGACCTCAGTGTTGTTTTTAACTCGAAGCCTTCTGATTATTTATTGGAGTAAGATTTAACTCGCATTCTTCTCATATTGCAAAAAGCAACATCTTCACACTTAATTTTATCTTACATTTTAGTAATAGCCTTTACGTTCTCCAATGGATGAACAATAAAACTAAAGACTTTGAACTCAAGCTCAGTCGATTTCTTCAGCGAATAATTAACTTGGTCGCGTCTGTTCCAATCGGAGCTTCTGTTACTGAACACACAGTGGAGAGACTTAGATCGATTGTGGGAATTTTTGATCAGAAACTTTTGAAGTGCCTCACCAAGTGGCAGAAATCTCAAGACACTCTTCTGATGCTTCATCCTTCTGATGGGAGCCTTTGCATTTGGTAAGTTGACATACGGTATTGGTTTTCTCATTCTGAAAAGATATTTCAATAATTGCCTTCAAGGTTGCTCATGAAGTACTAATCATTATCCAACCCATTTCATGAAAAATCCCAACAAAGGCTCCATTTGGTGAAACGAACTTAAGTCTCTCCTTAGCACTAGGTGAAATCTAATTTGGAGATTGTGCATTCATGGAGTCATGACGTGTGAAGAGCATATTGAGTGCATTCCTTTGTCAATTCGTGCAGCTGAAATTCAACAACGAGGACTTTGCCTTTGAGCTGCTTTGAAATTGCTCCTCTCTTCTCTTTCCCTAAAGCTTGTTTTGAGCCATTAAATGCCAAGGAGTACTAGAGGTCGAGCGCTTTTACCAAATAATAACTGAGATCAATCAATCATAATCCCAAAGTAGTCTTTGATTTGACTACATTCTTAGCAAAAAGTAACAATATTAATTCACACTTCTGAAAATTAAAATCTTCAATTTAAGGCAAATCGAGGGGGAATAAGTGTAATGCTGTTATGTACATGCGAATTTTTTCTTGTATCTTTTTTGTTTCACTGTTTCTCATTCTCAAGTATATGCAAGCACTTCCTCTTGTTCGATGTTCATTGTCGTTATTTATTCATCTGCGAAACTGTCAATGTCTCACTAAATAGGTGGAATTGTCTGGAAAATCGAAAGCTTTCGCTTCAGAAGCGCAAAGATTCTCTCTGTAACTAAGTCAACCAAGGCTGTCATCATTTTTAAAAACTCTCTCTCGTGATTTTACTTTTTTCTGCTTTCATGTAAAAGTGCTTTTCAGAGAAATCCATCGCACTTTTGCAAGAAGTGAATTATAATCTTTGTTTTCGATGTTAGAGTCTGACTCACTTCGATTGCAGGGTTGTGAATGGCCTAGATAGCTGTACCCTGAATGGTTCAGTTCTCTCCTCAAGCGCTCACAAAATTTGCGACGGCAGTGTTCAGTCAGATGGTGGACACTCTAGTCGAGTGAAGAAGAACGTCCAGCTGGATTTGACTCAACATCGACGCGTGTGCCAAGCCACGTGTACTCTGCGTTCCCTCCTTCCTGATACAGGATCGACCTATGTGACCTGTCTAACCAAGCACGAGCCCATTCTCTTCAGTCGAGTCTATGAGAGTGGATTTGAGACGAATGACCAACTGCACCTGCTCTTGGTGAAGTGCATTCTTCTACGTTCTAAACTGGCAATTGCGGTTGAGTCAAATCTTAAGGCATATTTACGCAGTCGACTTATCAGTGAAATCAGACTTGTAAGTGAATAATTTATCAAAAAGTGCAAGCTTTAGAATAGAGCTCAAGATGTTTGCTTACAGTTTGCCCATTGAATGGTTTATTTGTTTGTGGTGAAGCGACCATCACCTGGTACTTCCCAGTGGATATCTAATTAATGGAAGATCATACTGAGCGACAGGAAATCAACTCGGTTTTTAAATCACATGATCTAACCATTTATTAGTCAGTCACTTCTAACAAGTCGGTTTATTTGAAATTCAAGTAATGAATTAGACGTTTATGCTTTTTTTCATTACAGTCATAAGTGGCCTCTAGATCCATCTATTATGATCCATCACTACCTTTTATAATAATTTTTTGACCCAAGTGTGCAGTTAAATTGGCCATAATTCGAATCATTTAATATCTAAAGATCCTATTAGGGCAAAATTTTCATCGACCTGTTAAAATTAAACGCCCATTTACCAACGCTATTAATGCTCCCTATGTTCAAATCTTTTAACAGGCAGTTGACTTCTGAATTCAAACCGTCACCCTCACTGGCAGTTGACTTCTCACTTCAAACTACCATCACCCCTCACTGGCAGTTGCTTTCTGACTTCAAACTACCATCACCCCACCGTAAACCGGCAGTTGACTTCTGACTTCAAACTACTATGGTCCGACTATAGTTGACTTCTGACTTCAAACTATCATCACCCCACTGCACTGGTCATATTCGACTACTTCTACAGTACTCACCTCACCTTTTCACTCTACTTTTGCGCCTGTCTCTTTTACAACTGTAAATCACTCTTCTGTTCCCCA